AACCTTTAGCAAGTAATAAATTACTAACAAAAGACTAAAATTGCTTTAACCATTGGGGCTGGAGTTAAGAAGTGGTCCAACAGTACAACCAATAATTTCAATTTTTGAGCATGAGGAAAGAACTCTAAAGCTTGCTACTGAGAGCCTGTAATAAATGTGGGCTGAAAAGACCGTACATTTCAACAGTGTCTGGGAAGGGATGGAGCTAGCTTCCAGCACAAACCACAGGGGCACTGGTTCCCAACTGGAAAGGAGTACCTTACTGCAAGGTTGTGAGCATGTCCCCAGCAATATGTGGAGCATGGGTAACCAAGTCTTGGGGGATCATCCTGGCTCCACAAGAGCAACCCACTGTTGCCCCCAAAGCCGACGTGCCGGAAAGCACCATGAAAAGATATTTAAGTGGCCCTGGATGGAGTAAGAGGAGCTTATTAATACTGCCCCAGCATCCTTTCTGCTAGCAGGGGAGTCAGTGGTGCCACCAGTCAGAGTGAGAAGAAAATTCTGGCAGTCTTGGGGAAGGAATAAAAAGGAAAAGGCAACTACCATGCAATAAGAACTCCAAAAGAGTTCAAATGATTCAAGGACTGGAGCATCTCCCTTATGAGGAGAGGCTGAAAGAGCTGGGACTCTTTAGTCTGGAGAAGAGAAGGCTGAGGGGAGACCTTATTAATGCTTACAAGTATCTCAAGGGCGGGCTGAGGGAGGAGGGAACCAAACTCTTTTCAGTAGTTGCCAGTGAGAGAACAAGGGGCAACGGGCACAAGTTGGAACATAAAGGGTTCCACTTGAATATGAGGAAGAACTTTTTCACTGTGAAGGTGACAGAGCCCTGGAACAGGCTGCCCAGGGAGGGTGTGGAGTCCCCTTCTTTGGAGATTTTCAAGCCCCGCCTGGATGCAGTCCTGAGTAACATGCTCTGACAAGCTCTGGGTGGTCCTGCTTCAGCAGGGGAGTTGGACTAGATGATCTCTATGGTCCCTTCCAACTCTAAAAATTCAGTGAAATTCAGTGAAAAGGGCTTGAGATGAGGAAGTGAAGCAAATGAGGTTCTCAATACTGCATTTTCTCAAGTGATTCCTGCTGTTTATTAAAAAAAAAAATGCTGCTCAGAGAAAGGACTGAATGTGAACAGGTAAGAAAGCAGTCAGACGAGGCTGTGATCTCAGCAGCAGTATGAACACTTGTTTTTCCATCAGTTCATTTCCCCAGTCTGACTGGTTCACACTGTGGCCACATACGCACCTGTGTCAATACGGTACCAAGGTGCCAGAATGGCAGGACCGAATGGCTGGGACCTGGGGCAGGGGTTGTGTACACCCCGCGGTGCCATCAAATATATCCACATAAAATCATATCCTCAGTGCCGAACATCTGCTGTAAGAGGCCTGGCTTAGCCTTTAGAAGTGCCATAGATTCTTCAATTTGAAACAAAGGCTTAATATCTGTTTGAACAATCCTCGAGAAAAAGGTTTGGCCTAACCATCTTAATGTTTATTATTAACAGAGACCTTAAGAACATCACACTGTGTGGATTTTGCTTTAAATCAGTCTGGATATTACCTACACAAAATCCCTTTCATACTGTGTCAAAAGCATAGGTGTGGTTTTTTTAACAGAATAGTATCCAGGTGGGTGGAAGACAAAAATGTGACATTCTAATTATATACTTCATGAAATTATGACATTTTGAAAGCTAGAAAATTACTTTGTTTCATAAACAAATTACAGCAAAATCATTCTAACTCTGTTTGACAGTTATTATGGACTACTGGATTACCGACTGTAAGCAAATAACTGCAGTTTCAGGAATCAACCTTTTTAAGCTGTGACATTTTTTGCTAAAACGTCATTAACTTTTTAGATGCAGTGAGAATTCACAGTGTTTCTCTTCTTAACAAGATCTTGTTTCATTGGAAAATTTTTAGTCTACTATCAAGTGATCCCATAAAGCAGGGCAGAACTAATGGCTTTATTAAGTACCTTTACTTCAGGCTAAATGGAAGGAGCAATTACATCCCACTTATATAGCAAAACAGCTGGAACCAGCAGAAGCTACCTCTCAGTGCAACAGAAAATATAAAAAGGCCTGCCCAGAAGCTTGACAGGTTCGCTGACACAAAACACACGGCTAGGGAACTGTCTGCCCAGCTATGTTAAGAAAGGCTTTCAGAATTCCAGGAGGGAGGTAGCTCTAAAGAAGCATCCACAAACTGGGCACCAAAAATAGACAGGCAACATTTTTTACAGGCCTACTTCAAGATATTTAACCTCACAGGTGGGTTTTCTTCCATGGAGCTCGAGGAAACAGGGCACTCTACAATCTTCCTATGTCAAGAGAAGGGCACAAGAGACACACTTGAGCTGGTCAGTCAGTCACTCTAACATAACAAACGTGCAAGGCTGCAAGTATTGCCTACTACTTGGCCTGACAAAAGGGGCAACAGAAACAAGGCAACTTGTAAAAGCTGAAAGACATCTTATTTGTGCTTCAAATATTTTTTTCAGTCGGAACAGGGCTGCAATACACCTTCAAAATTCTGTATACTGCTTTCTCCTAGCCTGTAAGAGTTATGAGTAACTATTTGCAGTTCAAATGAATAGCCTTTGAAATACAGTTTCTATAACACATTCTTCCTTACATGACTTTGCAATACATCCTCCCATCCTCCCCAACACCATCAGAAAAAAAAAAAAAAATTTTTTTTTTTTAAGTATTACTGTTGGAAGAAGAAAAGGCACCTGGGAAGGGAAATTCCAGGAGTGGGACTCCAAGAGTTTGACACTTCCATGCTTTGGTGACAAGTTATGACTTTTTGTAAGCAGAAGAATTGCCAAAGAATTGGAGATGAGATGGTAATGAGAAACTCCAGCACATGAGGAGAAATATGGTTAAGTGAGCCTGGAAACTGGGGACTGAGGACTATCCAATCAAGAAAAAGAAATGATTGTGCATCTGTCCACTGTTTGAGCAATGTGACTTATCTTCCCTACTTACTACTTTTTCTTTTTTTGCCATTTTACACTTTCTACACTGGTCATTTCCAGACCAAGGACAACAGTTTCCCTTGTCCACCACGAGCCCATGTATCTTTCTTGCTGTTACAGGATCTGTAAGTCAGCCAGAGGTTTGCAATAGAACTGCTTAGAGTCATTTTCCTAACATAAGTATACCAAAAACACTTTAAAACTTCTAAAGCTGTGTTTCATTACAGCCCCAACTGAAACAAGGTAGCGTTAGAGGAACTAAGAGTGAGATGGATTATAATAAAAGGGTACGTACAGAGGTTTCCTCTCCCACTATACGCTTGCAGAGCAAGCTGTAGGTCCTTAGTAACACAATTTTTAGTGGCCTTCTGGGCTACAACAAAACTTACACATTCTCTCTTGAGTCCCAAAGAAGAGTCTGTCTTTCTGTCCTTTCTGAGAGCATGCTCATTCCTAACTCCGCTCAAGAGACTCACTGTCCCTACATTTAACACTAGGAATTCCCAGATTGCTGTCTCTCAGTTCTCTCCTATCCCCACTTCACACTATGGAAGCTTTTTCACCCGGGCTTGCTCGTTTGCTCCTGGACCAGATACTACTGCTCGCTCTATCCCACAGGCTCCATCTGGCCTAGAGTGAAAAGGAGGGAAGAAAACAAAACAGTGGTCTTCATCCCTTATGTCCAGCTACTGCCCTTTTAAAAATGTTGTGTATTGCAAACCGACAAGATAGCATCCACTACCTTTGACTTTAGTTCTTCCAGGGTATCCCATTCTCTGGAAAGAAGTTATTGCTTCCTATTGCTTCCACATACAAAAGGTGGTAACTCCTTCCAAAATTGCTATGTTGGTCTGAGAGGTTGAAGAAAAAAAAATTTGCTCTTGCAGATGGTTCAGGCCGGATGGTTAGGCAAATCTTTCAAATGTATGTATTGAGTTTATCTGCATGCCACATACAGCTCAAGTATTTGCTGCAAACTGTTGTTATCAATAGCTTAATAATAAATATGTCTGTCTGACAGGAAAATATGGTAAGTAAATTCATGGTCTTGTCCATCTGTTCCTCTGCTGTTTGTGTATCTCCATATCATAGTATGCTTGTTTCTGTTTCAGCTGCTTGTCACGTGTACCTCTATATAATATATATATACACATATGAGGGCTGTTATGATGGCTTAGTTTGCACTTGTGTTCTTTTTCCCTTAAATTCCACGCAGAAGTCTGAGCGTATGCTGGCAAATACACACGCTGTGTGTTCATCGATCTGAACCAACTTCTCTTCCTGCTCGAGCGCCGTGTGTGACGCACAGCAGCGTGAGCACACAGGAAGCACCACCACACGTCCTGGCAGATACAGGTGCTTACAGACACACGTGATAAACTCTGCACAGCTTCACACACACTGTGCTCTGACCACTGGCACACCACCGTGCCCGAATGCCCCCGTGCATACATAAGGCCCAGCCTAGGTGGCTGCATCTCCACCTTGGCTCCCTGCTCTCCTGAGGCCACGTATACTTCTCCTGCTTCACTTAATGGGCATGTGGCGAGGGCACAGAGCTCCCTGCTCCACACAGCAAGTGCCCGTGTGCCTTGGCAGCCTGTCCCGCCCAGTTTGGCCGGTTCTCTTAGGCCTGCAGCCACGGGAACCATGTTGTTCCTCGCCCGCTCAGCTGCCAGTCTGGAAAGGAAGCCAGCCTGCGGCCTCCCCAGTGTCAAGGAAAGGCCTGAAAATGCAGGGTGCCAGCACCGAAGGAAAACCAACCCGCAGTGCCGGCTGGCTGCCGGAAGAGGCGCGGGGCCGCCGGCTGGCCCTTCCCGCCGGGGCGGGCCCCGCCAGGCCGCCCCTCAGCTTGCCCCGTCGCCAACGGCAACAATCCTGAGCCGGCGGCGCTCGGCGCTCGATTGCGGTGGCTGGGCTCCGACTCCCCCCGCCCACTCTCGTTCCGGCTGGGCGGGAGCGGAGGAGGCGGCGGGGAGTGTGGGGGAGAGCCGCCACCCCTTCCTCTCGGCGCTGGATTAGTTGTGCCTACTAGGAACTCCTGTGTTTGTTGTGGAGAGGCAAAATGGCGGCGGCGGTGGCCGGGGCCGGGGCCGCCCTGCTGGGCAAGGGGTTGGACATCAGCCTGGCGGCGCTGCAGCAGCACGACCCTTACATCAGCAGCATCGTGGACGTGGCCAGCCAGGTGGCGCTCTACACCTTCGGGCACCGCGCCAACGAGTGGGTACGTGGGGCCGCCCCCTTCCCCGCACCCGGGAGGGCAGGGGAGGGGAGGGAAGGGGCGGGGGCGAGGGGAGAGGCTCCACCCACTCCCGGAAGGGGCGGGGCTTCGGGGAGGCTCCGCCCCTCCCGTATGAGGGGGAAGGGGTGGGCGCCACAGTGGCTGAGGTGTGAGGGAGGTGGTGAGGGGGCTCCTTCGGCCAGGCCGGGTGTCCTGGGGTGCTCCCTTGCCAAGTTACCACAGCCAGGGGTGGTGCCTGGCGCAGGGTCTCTGGGGAGCATGGGGAGCCCCTGGGGAGCCTGAGGAGCCCCTGGGGAGCGGGTTTTGAAAGGCTTAGAGTGCTGTGAAAGTTCTGTCTCACAGGGCAGGGGCTGGGGTTTAAACCCTAGCGGGCCTCAGGGGCTCCTCTGCTACCTGAACATCTATAACGGAGCCAAAAGGTGTGTGAAAGCGTGCTAAAAATGCTACTTAAGATTTTTAAAATTAATTAACTTGGGGAGTCTCTGTGGTAATTTAACATCCTGGCTGTTTGCAGGTGGTTCTTGATTTGCTGTAATGGTGGGGCTCAGGTGAAGAACCTGTGCCATCTGCCTTCTGTGTGGTTTCCCCATTGCCTGTCCCCAGCATCTCCCCTGAGGGCAGGTGCTGTTTGGAAGCTGCTCTCCCTGAGCCTGGTCTGCAAATGGCCCTCAGGTGTAGCAGAGTTCATCCGGCACAGCATTTAATCTTGTGGTGTCGAGCCTTTAGCCTTTTCATATCTTGCCCGAAAACTTGGGCTGGCTGCAGGGTGACCTGTGCTAGCTGTAGTCTCTCACCACCAGCTGATGAAGTTGGGTTTAGTTATTTTTTCATGGCTTAGGTGAGAGAGATGTAATTGAGGGTATTGGTAAAACAGGGATAAAGTCGGGGGCTCGCTGATGGCTAGCAAAATGCTGCCCTGATTTCAACTTTCTTAACTTTGCTTTTCTTCAGGAGAAGACTGATGTGGAGGGAACACTGTTTGTTTACACAAGGTGAGGACCTAATATTTTAGTGTCTGCAGGTGAAACCTGTGGACATGGAAAAGCAAGCTCTGGTGGAGTGTGGCTGAATGAAGCCTTGTTCACGGGTGAAAAGAAACTGAAATTGACAGAGGCAAATGCAGGGAAGAAAACATTAGGAAGGAGACATCACCTTATATTGGGATAAGACTTCCAAATGTGATTTCAAACTTAATATGGGTAATCTATAGAAATCTGTTATGTTGTTTTAAATAGGATATGGCATTTGCAATTTCAAAGGTGTCTGAACAAGAAACAAATAGTGAAATAAATAACTGTGTTTCTTAAAGTGAGGGAATGCTAGAACTTATGAAGTATTGTGTTTCCTACTTAGGGAACTTTCATACTACCCCTGTCTGATTATTCATTTTCTATGCATATTTCATCCAAGGTTTTGGATGTCTTTAATGATTTCTTTTAGCAGCAGCTCTGGTTGTGGCTTTTCAGAGCGTTGGTTACATCAGTTATTCTACCATATACCTTAGATCTGTTATGAAGCCTGCCCTACGTTTGAGTTCCCACATTAGTGTCCCAACATTTCCCTGTGGCTGTTGTTAAAACCAGAAAATAATACAGTAAGTAGATTGTGCAGTAGTTGCTGGGATGGGACACCAAAGCAGAAACTTTCTCCTTCAACATTTATGTTGATGAAGATCTGGTAGGAGAACTGAGAAAGCAAGAGAATGTTTCGAGAAAGCGAGAGATGCTGCCTGTGTGAAGTTACAGGGAGGCCCAAGAGACTGTGAGCTTTGTGTAAAGTGGGAATGCTGGTTTTTTTGCAGCAGTGGAAATCGCCATCAGTAATTTTTCTAAGTTGTTTTCAGGTAAGTGTAGATAAGATGCTTTTATAATTACCACTACAAGAGGAACTGGCCCTTAGTTGTGCTAGCAGTAGGTGGAGGTGGCTAGTTGCGTACTACAAAACAGAAGTTTTTTCTCTGGTATGTTGGTTTTAAAACTCTAAAACTGACAACATGAAGCCTGGCACTTTAGCAACTGGCATCTTTCACTGTTCTTTTTGTTGGCTGAGGAAGTTTCCATTTACAGCAGAGGTTGCTACCCTGCCTGCCCTGTAGGCAACGGTATGGAACAGGTTATGAGCTGTAAGTAACATCATACGTTGCCCTCCCCGTCAGTTTTAACTTTAATTTCCTGTGGCTTTGAACAAAGTCATAAAAATCTTGTGGAAAAAACATAGCCAACAGATCATAGGTTAGAGACCGCTGGTGTTGCCTTTGTTGCTTGTTGTTGCTGCTATGACAATGTAGAGTAGTGTGACCATTTTACTTGAAATGACCTATTTAACACCTATCTCAATTTTGCAAATTCTGAGGAATGGTTGAAAACTCAGACTCTGACTAGGTTAAAACCAGTGGAAGTGGACTGGTTTTTTGGTTTTTTGTTTCTTGATTGAGTTTTTTTAAGTGAAGTACTGACTGTTGGAAACAAGGATTCTTACTAAGAGTTCCACTTCTGTGTAATTTTCTGTGGACACCAGTCCACGCAGGTTCCTGTGCTTTGGATTTCCTAGAAAAATCCATCCACCAGCAATTACCAGAGATGGCACTTGTACCAAATGTTTAGCCTTCGTCTTTTCCTTTATTGTCATACTTAGTTTGAAAGGAATATCTCCTGCCAGAATCGCGATAGGTTTAATAGCTCACATTAATAAAAGTTATTTAACTGACTTGAAGTTTAACCCCCATGAACGAGCATAATGATTTAGAGTCATGGAGTGGTTTGGGTTGGAAAGGACCTTTAAGGATCATCTAGTCTGACCTCCTGCTGCGGGCAGGTACGTCTTTCATTAAATCAGGTTGCTCAAAGCCCCACCCAGCCTGACCCTGAGTACTTTCAATGATGGGGCATCCACAGCTTCTCTGAGCAACCTGTTCCAGTGTGTCAACACCCTCACTTTTGTTCTTCTGCTTTAGATGATGTGGAAAATCCTATCTGGAATGACTGTCACTGTCTGCAGTTGTTAACCTGAGTGTTAAAAAATTTACTTGCTCTGACCCATGACTAAATCATTCTAATTGCTGTTTTTGATGCCAGCAAGAAACTGTAGGGTAGATGGTTGGGTAACTTGATGCTGATGGTCTCTAACATCTTGCATGTTCAGAAGTTCAGAAGAAGCCTTACAACTTGGAGTGAAAAAACAGACATGCAGATATCATTGATTATACTGTGACTGAATCACTGGACCTCCAATGGTAGTGTCACCAATATGACATACTCTCTGGAGCTATTGTGAGACCAGTGGTGTGTCTGTTATTTCTCATACATAATGTAGGGTTTTGGCATAATTAAAAGGATCACACAAAACACTGCAAGGGTCAATTGTTATTTGCTTGGCAACGAGATTAGATTTTTGTAGTGTCTCTTAAAAATAAAATTTTTTAAAAAAACTATTTTGGAGAACTATACAACAAAGAAATTCTAGTAATTTCTTTTATTCCTTGACTTCATGTGATTTCTAATTGATAATTTTCAGATCAGCTTCTCCAAGGCATGGCTTCACAATTATGAACAGACTGAGCATGGAAAATCGAACAGAACCTATTACTAAAGACCTGGATTTCCAGCTGCAGGACCCTTTTCTACTGTACAGAAATGCCAGATGTAAGTATGTGATATGTCGCGTTAAATACTGAAGAAGTCAGCTCCTCTTCAGAGTCTGTTCTTGGTTAAGGCTGTCTAAACGATTATGCTTTAGCTTTCAAGGGCTGAAACTAGATGGATAACAGTTAAAATTGAAGGAATAGGTTTTGCCTCTTGATGTACTGAAAGAGAAGAGCCTCTGGGTGCTTCCTAAAATGTTCCTTTTCTAATGAAAGTATTAGAATGTGCTTAACAGTAATGTCTTCATTTAACTGACAAATAGTAGACACTTATGTTCATGTGCATATGACGGGTGCAAAGACTCACAGAGATACTGTGTGTGTTCCCAGTCAGCGTTGGGAAGCCTCACCATAAAGCAGATCTACTGAGGGTTAGAGTAATATTTGTAATCTTGGTTTTCTGCATAAAAATAGACAAACGCAGCCAATTCAAACCCTGTCTTCTGCTCCAGCTCCAAAATACTGTCCTTGCAGCAAGTTGGAAGGCAGGTTACTTCTAAACTGTTAGGGATAACTCTTGACAACATGGTATTGAGCCTAACTTAAACCCTGATGAAAGACAAAGTTACTATTTTGGGCTCTGTGTCTACCTTACATGATTATAAAAGAATGAGTAAGTGTCAGGCAAGCTCAGAAATAAGTGGAAGACATGAGAAAGCTGTACTTTTACATGCAAATATACGTACGGACTGTTACAACGCGCAATTGTATGAGAACGAGCAGTTACAAATACACAGTTTATATCTGTACCTGGAAGCAGAGCTGTAGTACGATCTATGCTCTGTGCTTGATGCATAAAAGCAGATTGCAAAAATGTTTTATGTAAACTGTGGTGCAGAAGTGTTCCCTCTGGATGAAGTGAAAACAAAGGATGTTCATGGCGTACAAAACAGCCCGGTTTGATAATCCGCTAGACGTTTTTACTCCATAAACTTAATTTGCAGTTGGAAAGTATATCAAGAGGGCGTCCTGTTGTTCACACACACTATGGGGTAGGAACAATTGAGAAATAACATTTTAAATAACCTAAATGAAACTTCTATTTTGGGGAGTATTTGATAGGCTGACAAAGGATTAAAATTCCCCAAGAAAATGAAAAGAAATGCAGACGTTTCCAGACTAACCTAGACTAGACCAGACATTAGGATTTTAAGTACCATGAGAGCTTTTTATCCCATCTGATTTTCAGGAGACTTTTCCATTTATATGTGATCTTTTTTAATCTCATTTTGAAATTCCATTAGGAGTTCATGTGTGTGGATACTAATATCTACCTTTTGAAATCTGTTCTATTAATTTTTCACTTTTGTCGGATCAATTGGTATAAAGAATAATTAGAAGTTGTCATTATGCTGACAAGAAGTAAGACAGTCTTTAGTCTGAGTACTACAGACTAAAACCTGTGATGTGTTTGGATTTTTTATTAGGAGAAACCATGGAGGCTTTGGAGAGGTGTAAGTTCTTTGTTCACTAAGAGATGTCAGAATTTTAGTTTTGCAGGGTCTCAAATAAAAGTATTAACAAATGATTCTGAGCAGTGTCCTGTGTTCAAGTAGCTTGTCCAGGGCTTTTTGGCTAATTGTGCAACAGCAAAAAAACAGAAGGCTTCATTGCTAGGTTCTTCTGTCCACGCAATGGTTCTTTTAGGGTAGTTACTGCTGAACTGTGTTTGTGCAGCATCAAGGCATTCTCTGTTTGTCACCCTGCCCCATCAGTGAGTAGGCTGGGGATGCACAAGAATTTGGGAGGGAACAGAGCTGTGACAGCTGACCCCAGCTGACCAAAGGGATACCCCAGACTGTATGATGTTGTGCTCAGCAATAAAAGCTGGGGAAAGGAAGAGGAAGGGAGGGTGTTTGAGGTTACTGCATTTATCTTCCCGAGTAACCATTATACATGATGAAGCCCTGCTTTTCTGGAAATGGCTAGATATCTGCCTGCTGAGGGGAAGTAGTGAATGAATTCCTTATTTTGCTTTGTTTGTGTGCACAGCTTTGCTTTTAACTGTCTTTATTCTCAACCCACAAGTTTTCTTGCTCTTGCCTTTCCAATTCTCTCCCCATCCCAGTAAGGGGAGGGAGCAAGCTGTGTGTGGGGCTGAGCTGCCTGCTGGGATTAACCCACACCACCTACACTGACAATTTGCCAGTGGCAACATGAAAGTATCATGTTTCTTTCAGTTTAGGATCTCTCAGCCACAAGATCTGATATCTTCCTGACCTTGTGGCCCTCTTTACTGTATCATTCCCTTGAATGCCACCATGAAAAAAGAAATAACAAGATTTCCAGACAGCGTACTCCTGGTTTTATAAAGTCATTTTCAGCCTGGGTGTGTGGGTCTGATTTTTACCACAGTTAGTTGTTTGATTTAATCATGGGTAAATATATATCTGTTACTTAAATTGAGAATTTTGTTGTCTGGGAGAAGATCAAGGTTTGCTAAAAAAAATCCACTTGTTTAGGATTTCATTTAGTCTCAGATGTGTTCCAGTTATAGGGGTATGTTACCCCTGGTTATTTATCTTCCTAAAATACTCTTACAAAGGCGTAATCATTAGTTCTTCAAGAAAACCGAAGGTCTTGATACTTCAAATGAAAACATTTGTTTTCTCAGATTTTCACGGAAACATCTATGTTTCCAGAGCAAACTGGCATTACAGACTCATATAGGAAAAGTTATTTACCAACTCACTTGACTTCTCCAGGTTTTCTTTAGGTCCCTACAGATTGTTCACATGGTGATTTCTCCACTGAGGTGCAAATACCTCTAGCCCTTTCTTCCTTGCTGTGTATTTCAAAGCTTTTGCTGCATAAAATAAAGGAACCTCCTTAACATTAAGTATCTGTTTTCATTAGGGTGTCATCCAAACATGAAGATCCATCTTAAATATTCATACAGAATATTCTCCTTGTGTTTTACTTTATTATACAACTTGCCTTTGTAATTTTTGCAAAACTAAGGCTTAAGACTTCTTCCTTGTTAAATGGAATTTTCATCCAAAACTGTGGGGTTTAGGTCCTAATCTTATAATATTATTTTTATCTCCTGCTTCCAGATACTAACAAGAAGTACACAGTAATAGCTGTTTACCTGGCAAAACAGTGGACAGTTTGGCAATAATACTTAACAGTATCTGGAAACAAGTTATCTTTTTCTAAGTTTTTGTTTGACTTTGTTACCTCTTATTCTTTTTTCATACATATCTTCTTATTAGATATAACAAAGCTAGCAGTTTCCTCTCTTTCTAATTGGCATAGTTGCTATCCCATATAAGAGGACTTACATTTGGGATTTGCAACAATGTAAATTTCAGAAAAATACAAAAGCAAGCATTTGGAGGAATAAAGAAGCGCAGCGTGTTTTATCTTCCAATATTCTGAACGTTTGTTGAAACCAACTTCATTTCAGTACCACTGAATATCTATGCTGGTTGTATCACATAGTCTAAAATAAATGCTCTTGGCAGCCAAAGGTGGTACTTGTGTACTGGGCAAGACTGCCAACTTTTTGTCATGTTATAGCTATCATTTTGTAAAGATTGCTTTGCATCCAATATATGATTACAATAGAAAAAGCTTTCCAAAATTATTCACAATAACAAGTTTTATGAATACTTAAAATATGAAAGGGAATATTTTGATCTTTTTATTGGTTTTCATATTTCTTCTATTGTTCCATATGATCTTGGTCATCTAAAGTTGAAATAGTGTCTAAACACTGTGTTGCAGACACCTACGTTTTAATTCCAGGACTTTTCAGGCTGGATTTGGGATCCATGCCAGTTAATGTTTGCACTGATCCACTATTGCACGGAAAAGTTTAGTTTGGGAAATCTGTTAGGCTAGAGCTAGGGTTATTAATTTCAAAGCCAGGAGGGAAGCTCAAATTACAATTTTTAATGCCAGCAGAAATCCTTGTCCACCAAGAAACAGAATGTTTATGGATAGAATAGGTGCTTTCAATGTGACCTTTAAACTTCTGTAGTTGACTGCAATTTTAAATGTTTTCACCCTGAGAGCAAGAGAGTAGTTCTGGTTTTGTTTAGGTCATCTAACGATTGTAAGGGTTTTAAAAAATTTCCTGGGTTCTATATCTGAGTAACCTTAGTTACATAATTACTATTTTTTTTCCCTAATCTTTGATATTTGTTGTGAAAGCCAGTGTTTAGAGCCTGTTGCTTAAGACTTGATGCTGATTAATGTGCGACTTCAGAGGAAATGCATAACTGTAAATTATTGGTTAAAATAACTCCCATTTTCTCCTTTTAGCACTGATCAGCTATCTAATAATTTACTCGCAACTGTTCCCAACTGTTATTGTAGCAGGAATATATGAGTGTATGCTTGGTCAGTGAATTATTTCTTGAGTTGACTGATTTATGATTTCATCACCGAGTATGGTTTTTCATGTTTACAGGACACAGAGAATTTGGGGAATATTAAGTTGCATATCTTAGAACTAGCTTCACCTTGAGCATTTCAGCTGCCAGAAAAGATAGATCCTCCCTTTATAATAGTTAGCAAGCTAATTCTGACGATGATCTGATACAGGTTGATTGGGTGCTTTTGTGCTATAGCAAGTGGAGAAAGAAACTATGTGAGAAATCAACAAATATTCTCTATCTGACAAGTTTCTGTATGTATTTGGGCATACAAGTTACTTTTCATTTCTGTGCCATAATTGTAGCAAGGCCTTTGATCACATCATCTCCTAGACTTGAAACTGAATGAAGCTTCCCAGTCAGATGTGGCATATTCTACTGACTTTGAGCTCTTGTAGAGGTTCAGGAAGTGGTACAAAAGCAGGCCAGACATTTTGGTAAAACTGTCTAGATACATACATAATCTCATACTAGTTTCAGTTGTCCGGTTTAACCTGCCACCATATGTCTATCAGAAACTTGAAAATTTAGTATTATGTTGCCAGATTTCCATACTTGCAAAAACATCAGGTAGATGGGATGGGCTAGGATGGGAGGGAGAGAGAAGTTTGCCAGCTGT